CTGCCTCATACTCAAAATAATAAAATAATCTGCCTCATACTCAAAGCAAATTCCTGATGTTAAATGTCAGAGTTTGCTGCCTCAAGACAGAAATTTCCAAGCTGAGGTGCACAAACAACTGGCAGCTAGCAACTTATTTGAAGCTAGTTCTTCCTTGTGTCTACCTGCTCAGCAGTATCAAAAGACAAGTGAGAATATTCATTAAACATATTCTTCATCTGAAATACCTCACATGAGCAATTGCTTTAATTACTAAAGTGATGAAAAATAATTACAGAGGAAAATTCTGCAATCTCAGACTAGGCAAGAAAATCCCAAGGGAAAGTCATCATTATAACATCATCCACGTGTTACAGAAGTCATCTGAGGAACCTTGGTGCCATTTGTCTCCCTTCTTTCCAAACCCTTGCTAGATGTATATGGCACAGCCTGATGACCAAGCAGCTTCCTTATCTTGCTTCTGAACACAACACATAGGGGTCCCCCACCACAGATCTGTCTCCTTTAACAAATCACAAAGTCAACATCCCTTATAGTATAGCAGACGAATTAAAGATATTTCAGTATGGCACATCAAGAAGCCAAGAGATACAATGCTCTGTAATTAAATAATGCTTTATATTGGTTCATGACAACCTAACACCAAGGTGACAGCACCTGCCATTTTCATGCAAAGTAATTTACATAAACTTATTCCTCTACTTCTATACCTCCAGCTTCATTCCATAATCTATACAGACATACAATTTCTTGCATCTGACATTAACAAGAGAAACGAGTTGAATAATCAGCTCACAGTATTAAGTGCATTGCATTTACTATCAAGCAACCTTTTTTAGTTCAGCAGATGATTAATTTTCCCTCCACAGTAGAGTACCAGGAGATGCAGAGAGCTGACAATTGCTCTCAGCTTCTGGCCGTGCACTCCATACGCTCACCTTGCAACAACAGCACTTGCTGAATCCCTCCAAGAGCTGCTCTAATTCATTAACCCTGCAAAAGAACTGGACAGCTTTCTGCCAGGTCAGTGAATTAAAATGGCTCACATAAGGAATGCCAGAGCCAGTAAGCGGGAGTGAGAGTTTGCACTTAGAGCCAGATCTGTCCTTTCTGGCAGCAGTGAATCTTTAGATCACCCCATCTGACAGAGGTACTGCAAGCCTAATTAGCATCTCCACTTGCAGCTATCTGTGCTGGGTGTCTCCATTAGGGATAAGCACACTAATGTAAACTAAGAAACAGGGGAAGAGGGAAGAAACCAGGTGGCCCAGCACCATAGGAAGTTAAATGCAGAGCGTCAGAGGTTTAAGAGACTGTCTGCAACAGGCAGACCAAGTAGGCCAAATATGGTCTGTTACCTCAGTCTATTTTTAATCTGGGTCTTTCAGCTGAGCTTTGGGACAGTATCAAGAGAAATGACAGATACTTGGAGATGAAGACCAGGAGACCCACATGCCAAGCAAGAAACAAAGCCCCACAGATGAGGCTTGATCCTAAAATAAAAAAAGATTCCAAAATATTAAGCTGTTTGTATTACACGCCACCTATTGTGCCAATTTCTTTTCCATGCTCCTGCTCTGAGAGCTTTGAATGCTTTCCACTACACTCAGACCTCCAGAACAAAGCTCGTCCTTAGCTGATGACACTATCAGTCATGCCCCATTGCTCAGAGCTCTTAGACTACATAGGAAGGCATAGACTTTGACTCTCAAACATTATTTTACTTAAATTCACTGCTGATGTTTGATGTCAGGCTTCCAGACCACTATTAACTCAGATACCACCACTAATCTCAGATCATTTAATCTGACTTGCCTGCCAAAATCTGCCAAGTTTCTATGAAAAGGTGCTCCCACACAGTGTTCTCACTCTGTCCTGCCAACTGGACCAAGCACAGGCCTTGTTCTTAAAAGCAAAGAGAGACCTTATCTGTCTGGGTGAAGAAATTTCTGAATCATCCCATGGGAGCACAGGCTTCAAGTCAGCAGCTAAAAAATCCACCAGCTGTTTGGTTTCGGGTATCACCTTCACACACATGACAGCAGTTGTGCTTGTCAGTTGCAATAATGGGAGGGAAAGATCATACATCACCCACTACGACTTTTTGCTGTACTAAAGATAACATTGTTGTTTGAGCAAGACAACAAAATGGTGAAAGGAAAAGATGCCTTCAAGTACAGCAGTCTAGTCCACATGGACTGAACATGTATGTCAAACAAACAATAACCAGTGTATATGATGGACAAGATTCTTGACATGAGCTGTAGATATTCAAAAATAACCAACTCGCTCTGCTATTTTTTAATAGCACGCTTTATCTTGAGTAACTACTAAGCCTTCTTCCTTCCCCTAGTTCCTACATCAATCATCAGTGTACTGAGAAGGAGAAAAGTTACAAGCAATTACATCCCAAGGAAGCCCACAGATTCAAAATAACTTCATACAGGAGTCCTGGACAGAAAGATAAAGGAATCACAAGATCCAGGACCCTGTGCATGTGAAAGGCCCATGGCTGAGGAACCTTCCCCCTTCCCCTGGATTTCTTCACATGCCACCATCTGGGATTTTCTGGGTTTGATCAGTCCAGCCATAGCAGCAGCAACGCATACATCTGCGCCCTTACCCTTTCCTGGCTATTTATGGTTTGTGAGACCAACTCTGCACACTCAGCTCGCACATATTTAACCACATCAAATGGTCAGACCAGACATGCCCACCTGTTTCCAATAGTCAGCACAAGCTTTATGTGCTATTCAGCCTGTTTCCTGGATAACCCCTGGCAGTTAGGCTCCCTCTGCAGCCTCCTGGCAACACCACTGCCTCCCAGCTGTCTCCCAGCAACACTCCCTCCCCCACAGACCGGCTCCCAGTGCCTCCTCGCAGGCTAGCCAGCCTCCCCACACCCTGTGGGCTCCTCACAGCCGGCATTAGTTGATGAAACACAGAGCTTGGCCCCGCAGCGCCATGGAGATGGCTCCTAATATGGAAGAAGAGAAGGAGAGTTGGCAAGAGCTTGCATCCAAGGTCAAGGCTCACATCATTTCCACTAAAAAGAAACGCTCTTAACCTCTGGGCAAGGATGGGAACAGCAAAAGTACACGGGGAAAGCCACTGCCCTATTTTACACCCTATTTCCAGCTTTCCCATCCAACCAGCAGTGCTCGAGATAGCTGTTTGCTGGAGATGGGCAGCCCAGATCTTACAGGTTGGAACAACATCAGACAATCTGGTACTAAAATGATGATTTGTATTTCTGCACACTGCACTAGCTCTAGGTTTTATTTCCAGTATGATCTCTTCTCATCTATATTTGTGCTTGCTGAGGCACCTGAAGTTCCTTTCATGCACTGTGCGCAATTCATACTCTTTCTTCTTCAAGATGCTGAAGTTGCTGTGTTCCCAGGATGAACTCAAAGATATCTTATCAAAGCCGCAACCAGTGGTGTCAGCCATGCAGCCACTGCCCACTGCAAAAGGAGCAGAGGCACATGCCGGGAACCATGCACTCTCAAGCTGGCACTATCACTTCTTCCCATCGTTGGCACTGAATTCACTCAGTACTTACTGGGGGAAAAAAAATAACCTCTATGAGCCAAACACCCAACTACAAGTAAAACTGAAAGCATTAACAGATTAAGTCCACCTCTGAGCACCAAAGGCTCTCACCATAAGGCTCTTTGTTAGGAAATTAAGTCTGAACAAGTGGCTTAAGGGATGGATCAAGCTTTTCCTGGGATAATCTGCCAGCATGTTGCCCAGTGCCAGTTCCAGGCCACAGGAAGAAGAAAGCAAAAAAATATAAAGGTGAAAATCTTTGTCTGGCAAATGGATGTCCAGTAGCTGAGAGGTCCTCTCCTATCTTTGCCCTCTGAAGCTCCCTGCCATCTTCAAAAAATCAAAGAATAATATTTTTCTGTCTGTTCACTTCCTGAAAACAAAACCACATTAGGATTACACCTACAATGTATGGGCAATCCTTTGTACAGCCAACCTTCCAGAATTTGACTCCATCACAGTCATTTCAACTGTTTGCCAATTAACACAAGGTAATTAACACTTTTGTAAAGAACTGTCTTCAGACAATGCTACTGTGAGGACTGTAGTCCACCCATATGTCAAGGGGCCAAGTGAAATGCTGGGGTTTCCACCCCAAGCCCCAAATTAAGAGTGACATATTGGGTGATTCCCACAGCCCTTCACAAAGGGGTGGGTGAGTTTACCTTTAAGCTTCCCTCCAGGGTGCAGCTGCCTTGCAGGGAGAGCCATTAGGTAAAGGAGCCCCAGGTGTCCCACATTAAGTAACCAAAGGTCAGGTGTCCCACTTAGGGATAAAAGCTGGGACCACTTGCAGGAAGGGGTAGTGTCCGTTTGTGAGGTGGATGTACTTTGCAGAGCTTCCTGTTGGGGAAGGACCTCCTGCCTCGTTGGAACTGGGCTCCAGCCAGGTCTGGCCTTTGCAGACATGGGCTGTGTAGAGATTCAGTATGTGGCTTCCTTGGTCTTATGTATTTGGCCTGTTGACTTGGTTGTCTCCTGTCCCTTCTATGGGAAACTGCCTTTCACCATTTATTCCACCCATTGTTGGTCATGTGGTCTCATTGTTGGGTCACTGGGATTGATGTCAATTATATATAATCTGATTGACTTGTTTGTACCCCCAGCACTCACCCATGTACTGACCCTTTTGTATCAAATACAATTTGGTTATTGGTTCATCTTTATGCTGGCTGTGTCCTTTATCCTAGGCCTGATAATTGGCAAAACAGCCACCATGTAAAAAAGTTACTGCTCTTTTTAGACACCTGTTTATGAGGGGAACACTCAAAAGGGGAAAGACAGGAACCTAGTAATGGAAGGTCAGAAGCTCTGTTTTGTTTGTAATTTTCACCTTTCCAGGTCTATGGCTGGTTTGCTGCATACTCTTAAGAAACAGTCAGCAATTCAATCAACAGCTGCTTATTCCCAAAGCACTGTGCTGCTCTGCACCCTTCTGCACTTACTGCAAGGGATCCATTCTGTGTGTTGGCTGTGTTCGTGCTCTGCTCTCCATGCGGCTGCGTGCTTCCGTAGAGCGTCAGATTGTGCTCGCTGGTCTGGCCGGCATAGTCCTGAGTGTGTGGCACCCCATACTCTGTGGGAATCCCATTCTGTGGGGGTGGCGGAAATGGGATTGTGGTGAATGGCTGCACCATTGCATCAGGAGTTGCTGCTGGCTCCTGGTTACCCTGAAGAGAGGGAAAAGGAGAAAACAGCTTTATACTACAGAAGATGAATCAGAATAGCAGCCTGAGAAATGATATACACAATGTTTCACATGACAGTCACAATAATATTGCAGTCTTCTACTATCTTCTCTGTCAAAAAGAGCATGCATCACTCCTCTGAGCCATGACACTGTTTTCTTAGTCTTTTGGGGGCAACTTTCTCACTACCAGGTGGCATATAGAGAACAAATTCTGGGGCTTGCAAATTGCAAACTCCTCTAATCTCACACAAGGTTTTATGCACAGTAAGGCATTACTTTGGAAGGGGGAACAGGCACTGAAACACTGGAATGGAGAATGAAACAGAGAGAACAGGGGTTTTTTAAATGCCCAGAAGTACCATATCTGGGTCCATCTCCTCTAAGACTGGCCCTCATGGCTATGCTCTCAAGCAAGCATATGATGTGGTTCAGAGTACACTCTTCTCTGTTGTATTAGAGTGAGAGAAAATAAGTACTAATTTTAAAACAGATCTGTGCAACAGCCCCCTCCTTTGCTCTGACAGCACTGAGTACAGAGCATGGGTGCTTAAGTATCAGTTGCTGGAACATCCCATTTGCTTTGTGCCATCTGTGCAGAAGACACCAAAAAGCTGTTTGGATCCACACTGAGAACACAAGCCTGGAGCACGTTCACTCCCTCCAACCTTGATTTTAAATTCTGGCTGCTGTTCCAGCCCTGGGTCCTCCTCCACAAAGCCCAAAGGTGCTCAAGCCTATTCTGACACCACCATGCTTAAATCAATGGAGTAAAAGAGAAGCAGACCTTATTTTGCAGATAGGAAAGGCAGAGTGGGAATTACCAAGCAGCCTTTCAGCTGAGAGCATGCAGGGGCTCACAGACCTCCAGTGAACCCAGACAAACATTTCAGTCCCTTTATCAACCTACCTGCAGCTTTCCCTTCCGGGCAAAGGAAACAATGATAAATGCTGCACACCTCCAGCCAGCACTGGGTCATTCAGACACTGGCTGAATCCCAAATTTGCTCTGACATTAGACTATCTGGTCTGCCTCCCATGGGGGCCACATGGCCATGTGCTCCCACAGCTGGGCAGAAGGAGAGGGAAGGGCATTCAATACCACTTAGAAAAGCTGAGCTGCAGCCTTGGCCTGCGCCAGACAGGTTCATTAACTGCAAAGCCTTGCTGCCTGCAGAAACACAAAACTCCACAGACTTACCTGAGAAAGAAAAATTCAGGCAAGTACACCAGCCACAGCCAGTGCCCAGTTCCTTGCACACACACCCCTGACCCACTGCAACCTGTATTGTGTATTAGCAGCTCTGCAGAGGTTTTTCACATAGCAAGCACATTTTCTGAAAGCAGGACAGGTGTTCACCCCATGCCCCTGCCAAAGGCAGGCTCCCCTGCCATTCTCTGCTTCAAAGCAAGGAGCTTCTCACTCAACCTAAACCATAATCAAGATCTGCAGGGCAAACTTTATTACAAACAGGAAGGACGAGAAGCTAAACAATGGCTATCCTGCCGCAAACCAGGTATTAGCAACCCCATCACTCACCTACTCAAACTATTTATCCCATCATGACCATTCCAGTCCATCTGTCTCCTTTTCAAGCTCTTTCACTTACAGTGTTTCATTATATCCAATTGCGTGTTTCCATACAGTCCATGCTGTCTCCACATTCCTCATGTTTAAAACAGAACTAGCTATGAGACCGATTTCTGATTTAAGTTTCCAAAATTGGTAGGGTAACCCCAGGAAAGATCCAGTAACAGAAACTATTTCCAATTTTCTTTGAACAAGCTAGATTTACAAGCCCATAGTACTCTGGACAGAAGGAAGAGAATGCTAATTAGCCACAAACAAAACCCATTTTGCTGTCCTCTCAACAGTGCAGGGCTGCTCCCCAAAGGACATATTCCAGCATTTTGCTTAATCTCACCCTTAGACCACTTAAAATGCCAGCCCATAAATCTTATATAGTCTTATTTTCAATGTTTTTATTCCTCAGTTAATACTGTTTCTTCCAGTTTAAACACATTTCAACCTTTTAAATATTTTCTCTCCCTTCTTCAATTATCTACAACTGTTTGAAGGATGAAAAATGCTCTCTATTCTGTTGCTTGGGGCATTTTGGTAATACATATTTATTGAACTTAATCACACCTCACAAGACAAAAGATCCTGGTAACTTTACTTATTACTTCTCTCTGACCTTCCTAAGATTTTCAAATAAGGGATTTCTTGTGCAGAATGAAGTGCTTTTAATACCATTGTTACTCTCCCCCCAAATGCACCCAAAATCAGGGTTTTTTATTAGAAATTTATCCTTAATGTCTCAGGTTATCTGTAATCTATCACCACTATGCTTCTCCAGGTTTCATAATCTCATGGAGTATCTGTACCTCAATTTATTTTTCTCTTGATATGATTATGTACGTTTCCCATGTGAATTTTTTTTTTTGGTAACTTTAATTTCCTTTGATGCTTTAGAATTACTCTTTTTTCTGTTTCCACTTGTGTCTACAGAAAAGGACTCCTAATGAGATCTCTACAGGTTTCACAGCATACTGATATGCTCCAAACCCAGAGGAGATTCTACCTCTTCTGTTATTCTACCAAATTTCAACATTTACACAACACTTAATATTTTCAAGAATTAACACAGAAAAGAAAAAAAAAAAATCCAATTATCTTCAAACATAGAACCTGAACTAATTTTCCCTACTTCTAACCCATCAGGGAAAATCCTGCAGGCATAGGGGCTGCTTTTCCAGCTTCTCAGGAGGTACAAAGAACATGGAGAAGCCCTGAAACTTCCTGGTGAAGGTCCGTATGTAGGAGAGACTCAAATGAAAGTATTTTGTCTATCCAATCTTGACAACATACCTCCCTGCATTGCTAGTCCTGCCTGTTTTAGCTCCTGAAATTCTCTTAAACATAGACTCAAATGCAACAACAGACTGAGATGGTTATGTCCAAGAGTAGTGACCATCCCCAAACACACACAAGGATGCCATCACAGGAGTTGGAAAGCCTGGCTGCAGCTCCCCACAAAAACTATTGCTGTCTTCAACTTGTGTCATGGAATTAAATAAATGTTAACTAATGTTCAGAAACAGAGACACACTTCTCTCGGCCACAATACAGGGTGGCTGGCAGTCTCCAGGAGAGGAGCTTGAGAGACCCTGGGCTGCAGGAATAATTTTGGCAGTTCCAGGTTAACTGACTTCCTCCATGAGTTTATGTTGCCATGCACTGACTATACTATCTGCCATCCCATGCTCACCAAACTGGGAAAGGCTGTTCAGTGAAACTGGAACTCAGTGTAATTAATATATCCTCCCTAAAAAAAAAAAAAAAAAAAAAAAAAAAAAAAAAAAGTAACCTATAGTTCAAAGAAAACTAGCAATTCTTATGTTTTCTATTCATGCTGTTGCTCTGCTTCCACAGAAATCACTCATCCAGATCAGGTAGGAATTTAAAGCAGCTCCCCTTCTGCAAAATGTTGACATCTGATTCACCAGCACCAGAGCCCTCAGGGCACAAGAGGGATATGGGATACCCATATCTGGGCTTCCCTTTTGGGCCCCTATTCTCAGCCCTACAAAAGTCCAGTCATGTCCTTACAGGTGCCAACTTCCTTAAGTGAGAGTTTTGCCTAGACAGCTCAGTACAAACCTGTCCCACATTTTGTTTAAAAAACAAGTTAGATAAAACACTGAAAAATCCCTAATGGGGACAAAGCTTTAACTTAATTAACAAACCTTAAGCAGAGGAACAGTAAGTAACCGCACGCAGAGGTATCTTGCAAAAGGGTGGGAGCTGGGGACAATGTCTCAATGAGAAGCAATGTGGTTCAGCAAATGCGACATCGGATGAATTCTTTCAGCAGACAGCAGGTGGTGATCCAAGATCACAGCACTTGAGCACCAAGAGCGAACACCAGCAACACACAAAGGCCTCTTACTTCCATAAACCTGTCAAAGATCAGTCTATTCTGTGAAGTGCTGGTTTTGTTTTGTTCATTATAGAAATGGGTATAATTACATGGATGTGAAAGGAGCCTTATAACAATGCAGCTTCAGATCCCTTCTGTATTGGTACGCTATAATATGCGTAGATATTAAAGCATAACCAACCAAATAAAAATTATAATCCTGGTAAAGCTAAACTGGTACAATTTCTATATAGACATTTCCATGCAAACTGCCACAAGGTGAATGGTCTGTACCATCCATAACCCTGCTGCCAGTCACAAGCATCAGAGAAAGGCGCAGAGAAATGCTACTGCATGTAAACATCAAATAATCTCTTAAATTTGCCTCTCAACTCTAGTAACCTCTAAATTATTGGGATATATGTGAGTATATGGCTATTAGTGGAATGGGGTTTCTAATAGGTGTGCTTTTACTGAACTCATTTATGAAACCTTGAAGCAACTGAGTTGCAGCTAATGGAGGCAATTAACCTGCTTGTGAAGATCAGTGTGTTCCAGCCTACAACTGTTTGCTCTCTGCACTAACCTAAACCCTTTTCTAAACAGCAAAAATGTCTGTAGTTTGGATCTGAAGAGCCTGGCATGACCATTCAACCTGGAGCCGCTGCCTGCCCTCAGCTTCCACATGAAAGGGATCCTCGTGAGCAAGGGAGATGCAGTGACTGCACTGTCCCTCCTCCAACCCAGGTCACAGCCTCCTGTCAGGGAGGCAAACAACTCCAGCAGAAGACACCAAGCCCTGCTCCCCAGCTGTATCCAGACAAGAGAGAAAGGGCCTACATACAACACTGCTGCCCAGGAGCAAGAGAATAATAAAGAACATGCCCCACCCCACCCCCCTTCTCACAGCTGAACATAAATTAAGGTTTCTGTATCAGTCTTCCCTGTCAGGGCTCCTCTGGCAGGAGCCCCAGTGGGACTTGAGCTCTTGACCAGGGTTCCAGAGGGTCTCTGGTTGGAGCTGCTGCTGTCCTGCCTCCAGCTGTGCACTCCTGCCAGC